CCCGCATCCCACCTGCAGCCGCTGCACCTGCCTGCCCCCGGCAGCACTGAGTCTGAGACCCTGGGACTGGCTCCTCTGGGGGCCACTTGGGGGCGGGATGGGAGGGAGTGGCAGCCTCATCTTCACGCAGTGACCCCTTACCTCCCCCCCTCCCGCAGGTTCACTCAGGCCATGCGGAACCAGCCCCGGATGGACAGCCTGGACACCCCCACGGCCTACCAGGCCGGCCTTGTGCTGCTGGGCGCCGGCAGCGTGCTGGTGCTCTCCAGCTTCTCCGCCCTGGGCTTCACCGGGACCTTCCTGGGTAAGACCATTCAGGGCCCAGGAGGAGCCGGGCTGGGGCACCTTCCCCTTCAGGTCTCACCCAGCTGTGTGGCTGTGAGGCCAGGCAGGGTGTTGGCCTGCGAGGGGCGGGGCCACCGTCCCTTTCTGCCTGCAGCTCTGGGGACTCCGGGCAGGAAGGCCTCATGACGTCAGTGACTTCCAGCAGCTTGGAAGCCCAGGAAGGAAGCCACGGGGACGGCTGCCAGGGCCACGGTGACCTTGGGGACAGGGCAAGACGGAGGAGGCAGCTGCTGCCCTCAGGGGAGCCCCTCCCAGCAAGCACGTGGCACCCAGAGCTGCCTGGCACCCTGATGGGCTGGGTCAGAGGTTCTTGGGCCCTCCCCCCGCCCCCAGCCCTGGCCAGCTGGGACTAGGCCTGTGTGGTCCAGGCCTGGGTGGATCTGGTGCCCCTCGCTGTCTGGGCATCTCTGCGGTGCTTCGGCCTGGGCTCTGCAGGGGGCAGCAGGGCCCCAGCGCTCAGGGGCGTGTGTTCTCGGCCCACATGGAGCAGCCCTCCTCCTGCCCGCAGCAAGGCCTGGCTGGGACTGTGGCCAGGCAGTGCCTCCTGCCTAGGCAGGAGCTGTAGGGAGCCTGGGACTAGAAGAGGGTGTGCGGCAGGGAGCCCGGGGGGAAGGGTCAGGAGCCTGGTCGGCAGGTGCTGGTGGGAAGGCGCGAGCCAGCGGGAGGCAGGCAGGTGGCTGGTATGCAGGGGCCCGTGGGGCCAGGGCTGGAGGCTGGGTGGGGCCACATCTCTCCGTTCACAAACGCCACACAGGCGCTGAGCTCCGGTCCCAGGGGGCAGGGGACGTGCGAGGGGCTGGGAAGGTCCTGTCTCCGAAATGAGAAGGTTGGACTGGTGGGGCTGACACCCCCGGCAGGGCCAGGGCGAGGCCACAGGAGGGCGGAGGGCACCGTGCTGGCTGGCTCATCCTCTAGACCAGGGTGACTAGCCTCCGTGGGTGCTGCGGGGAGTGGGCCCTGACAGAAAGCGGCTGTAGCCCCTCCCACTCAGGGCCACATGGTGAGACTGGCTGGAGGGGCGTCAGGGTGGGAGGGGGACCCAGCGGCTGCGCGACCCCCGGAGGAACGGACTGGAATTGCTTGGGACGTGGGGCACGTGCTCCCTGCCCTCAGCCCCAGCACCCGATGCTGCGCCACTGCCTCAGGCCACCGCCCGCTTCCTGCTCCTGGAAAGAAAGGCCCCAGCCCTCCCTGCCCGCTCCTTGGCCCCCGGACAGTGGGTGACCCACTCCTGCCGGTTCCTCCCGCCAGGGCTGTCCTGCTTCTGCCTGGATGAAGGGCCAAGGGCTTCTGGGGGGAGGAGGCCATGGATCCGGGGCAGTGCCCATGCCCTTGAGGGTCGCAGGTCAGGCCTGCTCCCCGCCAGCTGGGACTCCGGAGGGGGAAGGCAGCCGGGCCGTGCCGGCCCCTCTGGGTGATGGTCTGGCCAGGGGGTGAGCCTTTGTCCTGCCCACCTTGTCCACAGGTGATTACTTCGGGATCCTCAAGGAGGCCAGAGTGACCACGTTCCCGTTTAACATCCTGGACAACCCCATGTACTGGGGCAGCACAGCCAACTACCTGGGCTGGGCCGT